TACCATGTTTCTCTATTATTAGATAGGATGTTATTAGTCAATTAGAGGCCCGATGCATGAAAATTCATGCAAGAGTAGGCCTTTCTTCCCCCTGCTGCTGGCACTGACTTCCCTCTGGCACCCAGGACTCTGGCTTCCCTCCTCCGGCCTCTGGCAGGCACCCGGCACCTGGGCTGCTTCCCTCGGGCTGCCCGCAGGCACCCGGGATCCAGGCTGGCTTCCTTCCAGCCCTGGCTTCGTCAGGAAGGATGCCCAGAAGATGTCCGGTCTAATTAGCATATTACCCTTTTATTATTATAGATTATCTCACAATAAAGCTGAAAAAAAGGTGAGTAAAGGGTAAATTAGAAGACTACATTAGCACTAAGTGGTTTTTTGGGTTTTTCTAATAATGAAGAAAGACAATATAAACAATGTGAAAAAACAAGCCCTCATGCTGGGAGAAGAGATTTATAACACATGCAACTAACTTTAAATAAACAGAATTCTAGAAGATTAACCAAAACATACAATACACACAGAGTATAAAAAAGTGGGAAGGATATCAACTCATTTTTCAGAACAGAAATCTAAGATGACCATTGATAACATAGAAAAGATTCTCAGCCTTAACAGTTATCCTGTCAGTGAAGTCGGAGATGCGCATGTCTTTCATCTCTGCAGTTTCACTCTGCATGCACAACCGAGAGGAATGTTCACACATGAGCACTAGGAGACATTCATACACATATTCATCTCAGCATTTTGTGTAATCGCAACATAAAAGTCTAAAGCAATCTAAAATTGTTAGAAACAATCTAAATTTTATAAGCAGGGGGAATTGAGAAATAAATTTTGTATATGAAAGTATTCCATATAGAAATGAAAATTAATGAACTAGAGCAAAATCATCAGCATGGAAAATTTTTAAACATATTAGAATAAAACCAAGTTGCAAAACACTACACACAGGCTTGTATTAGTTACAAAGTTTAAAGACATTCAGAAAAATACAGAGTCCTATGGTGGCATTGGTATATATTAATCCTACAATAAAATGTATGCATGGACAGTGGTCTGGATTTGACCTGTGGGTCATAATTTGCCAGCCTGTGATGTATGACACATTCAAAGGAATTAGTGAAGCAGTTAAGTCATTAATAATATTATGCCCTCTTACAGGTGGGAAAATTGAGGTTTAGAGGCCTCAACTGGCATCATTTGGGTTAAATTATAATAACCTTACCATGCTCCCATTAATCACATGGCAATATAATTTTTTTTTGTATGTAATGCTTATAGAAGATCCTTTTCCTTCCTCTAAAAGTATAGTGAATTGTGGAGGTCTAATCTTACAGTTTTCCACAATTATAATCTTTAGTAGTATGTTTAGAAACTCTGCATTGCTGAGTCGTCTTTACAAAAATTATTTCATGTATGATTTTCCTAGGTTTGCAACATGTTTTATTGTTCAAATGGAGAAACATACAAAAACTGGTTTGATTTAGTTTGTTATTAGATATGAATATCTTATAAGCCAGTTACTAATAATAGGTACCTTTATATAATGTGCATTATTATTAAGCAGTTGTTTGTTGTTTTCTAAAGTCCCTTTTATGAAGTAATTTCTTTGTTTTGTCATGATGTGCAGTAATTGAGAATTTACTTATCTACATTTACATTCAAGGTCTAGGAAGTACATTTTTCCCTGTTTAATTTCATGGGCTAGAAGTTAGTAGGTATCAAGTAATTATGGCTCTTCTCGTTATGCCAGGGGTGGGGAACACCTTTCGGTCTGGGCCTGCCAAGGCATTAGGGATGAGTGAATTAAATGTTTGACCAAATTAGCAGGCTAATTTTTTTAAATTCTTTTTTTTAAAAAAATTCTTTATTGTTGAAAGTATTACATACGTCTCCTTTTTCCCCCATTGACCTATCCCCAGCCGTTCCCACCCCCCAGCACATGCACTCACTCCCCCTACTGACTGTGTCCATCCATGGGTTATGCTTATATGCATGCATACAAATCCTTTGGTTGCTCTCTTACTCCCCCCACCCCAATTTCTTAAAATCGGGTTGCTGATAATTTTGTATGGCCCCTGAATGATGTTATAAATACCCAAGTGGCCTTGGCAGGAAAGAGGTTCTCCACCCCTGTTTATGCAGAAAGTAGGACTACTGCAGGCGTGTTGGAATATGTGCAAGTTTAAAGGTGGGGAATAAAAATTATCACAGTACTTTTTATCTCCAGGAGAAGACTGAAATGACCTGTGTTTAAGAAAGTTTTAATATGAACCAGAGCCAGGATTTGAACCCATAAAGTACTCAAATAGATGTTCTTAGAGTATTAATTTTAAAAGAAGTTAGGATTTTTAGACAGAAAGGTGATCTTACCAAGTATGTAATTATGTTTATTCTTCCAAACTAAAAATGGGATGTATTTTTTTCAGAGACATCAAACCTGATAATATATTGATGGATATGAATGGACATATTCGGTTAGCAGATTTTGGCTCTTGTCTGAAACTGATGGAAGATGGAACGGTAAGGAAAGATAATTTTTAAATTATTTTACCCACAGACATTTTTCTTGCTACTTGTCTTCTTTATCTTTTAGAAACCACCTATAACAATAAAAGCATTATATGCAAATCGACCAAACAGCCGAATAGCAGAACAACTGTCCCAATAACCATGCTATGACATGCACCGGTGGCAGGCCAGCCAAGGCGGGTGCCATGCGATTGGTCGGGGGCAGGGGGGCCACGATCTCCCTGCAGAGGGAGGCCTAGACCACCCTCTGCAGGGTGATCAATTGGGGGGCTCCGCGATCGATTGCCCCCAAGAGGGAGGTGCAAGGCCACCGGCCAGTAGGTCGATCAATCGGAGGGGTGAGGGGAGACTCTGTGATCGCCCCAAAGAGGGAGCCCCAGGCCACCGACTGGCGGGCTGCAGCGGGTGCGTGGGGCCTCCCTCTGCGGGGTGATCAATCACGGGGCTCCCAGACTGCGAGAGGGCGCAGGCCGGACTGAGGGGGCGGGGGCCCTCTCCCCAGAGTGAACAAATTTCGTGCACCAGGCCTCTAGTTTATTTATATTATCCATTTATCTATCCACCCACCCACCCATCCTTCTATGCTTCACCTTCTTCCCCAGAGGTGTTTAGGCATACTTATTCATAGTGGGGCTTGTCTATAAAATCACATGCCATTTAAACTGTTCATATTAATGATCTGAAGATGGTCACTTACGCCTCTTATGAGACCCTGTTTTTTTCCTTCTTTAGCTGACCTGGTTATTATTGTACTTGAGATATTTTTACATTTCCAGATGGGCAAAGAAAATAAATCCTACATGGAGAAAGAAAATGCAGCTTCTTTGCTTTCATTATATTTTTTTGTCTTTCTTTTCTAGTTGATTTTCCTGAGGGACAGTGTTCAGAAATGAATACTTTTACCAGGAAGTCCTCGATGTTGATTTAGTTTCGTGTTACCATTTGCCTTAGTTCTGCTAACTCGGGCCTCTGTTGTTTTCTTTCACTCACTTAAAATTTATATGCCCCAAGTTTATTCTCTTGTTTGTTTTGGTTTTTGTTTTTACATCAGTTTCCTGGATATATAGCAGAAGTCCAAATATATATCCTTTTAATTGGCATAAATGTTTTTAGAGAGCAGTTTAGTAAAATACATTCTAAAGACCATGAAAATGTCATATTATTCTGGACTAGTAATTTGACTTCTAAAAATTTATCCTAAGGAGGTAACTTAAAAAAAAAAATCCTCACCCCAGGATATGTTTATTGATTTTAGAGAGCGAGGAATGGAGAGTTAGGGAGGGAAGGAGGGAGGGAAGGAGGGAGGAAGGGACGGACGGATGGACGGACGGACGGACTGACGGACATCTGTTGGTTGCCTCCCCTATGTGTGGCACCCTGGCATTGAACCTGAAACCTAGGTATGTGTCTAGACCAAGATGAGCCTGTAGCCTCTTGGTGCCCCATTTGTTTTCCATATGATTGTTAGATTTTTATTATCGGTTTATAGCCATAGTATACACACATACAAATACCCTTTCACAAACACAAGCTTGTAGACTTGCATTGAATTTAGAGATTTAAATATCTAGAGATTTTCTGGAAATTTATGTCTATAACATGGAATTTTACTACCCATGACTGGCATCTTCATTGCTTTATGTTTTCTTTTATGTCTGTTATTTAAGTTTTAAAATAATATTCACTGTAAATTCATTACCTTTAAGTAATGTTAGATTTGCTCTTAGGCGTCTTGTGGATATTTTGGGGGTGGGGGCCTAATATAAACAACTTTTCAAAGTTTGTTGTTGGATAGCTTGTTGCTGTTATATAGGACCACAATTGATTTTTGTAGGTGTATCTTGAACCTATCAATCTTGCTAAATATCTTTATAAGTTCAAAATAATTTGTAGATTTTTCTAGATTTCCTACGTAGACAATTATATAATTCACAAATTATGATGAGCTTTGGGTTTTGGTCTTTCAAATCTTTGTGTCTGCTGTTTTTTTCTCTTAACCATGCAGTCAGTGACCTTCAGCACAATGTTGAATAGGTGTGGTAATAGGGAGCTTCTTGGCCTTGTCCCTGACTTTAATGGTGTTTTTCCTGTAGTTTCAAATTAAGTGTGATGTTTGCTGTAAGCTTTTTACTGGGTTAAGGAAATTTCTATTTCTGATTACTGTGAGTTTGTTGCTAGGGTTGTTATTGTTGTAATCAAATGATTTTTCTGCTTCCACTGAGATGATATAAGGATATTTTTTCTTTAATCTGTTAATCTGATGAATGACATAGATTGTCCAAGTTAAATCATTCATTCTTTGGATCAACATAACTTTATCTTGAAGTTGTATTGCTATATCTGAACAAATTGTTAGATAGACTCTGCTAAAATTTTATATTAGCAAATTTAGATTGTTACCTGAAATTCATACCTGAGATTCATCATACTTGATATAGCAAATAATTTTCATTCTCAAATTGTTCTGGTCTGATTTCTATTTTTAGGTTATTTTAGCCTTATAAAATGAACAAGGGAGTCATGTTTCCTCCCCTTGCCTGTTTTGGCTCTGGAATAGTTTATATAATACAAGGATTATCTGTTTTTTATGTAATTGGTGCAGATCGCTTTTAAATCACCCTTGCTTTTGTGAGGTTTTGCTTTCTTCTGTTTTATTTTGTTTTCTAGGTAGATTTTATACTATTGATTCAAATTTTTTAATGGTTATAGGTCTCTTTGGTTTTCTATTTCTTCCTGAGTCAGTTTTGGTAAGTTATGTTTTTTTCCTATGAACATTGTCTGTTGTCAATGAGCTGTCAGTTTTATTGGTATAAAATTGTTCAGGCTGAACTCTTCCTAGTTTAAAAATCTTTTACGTGCATAGTTTTTTCATTCCTAATGTTTGTGCTTTTCTTTTCTTCATAAATTTTGATGTAGAGCATTTTACTATTTTTTAGTTCTAAATATTTTCCAACCTTAGTTAGAATTCTTCTGTGGACTATTAATTATTTAGATGTATGCCTTTTAATATCCAGCATATTTAATTATTTCTAGTTTTATTTTAATGGAGAATGGGTCTAATTGATACTAGTGTTTTGGCATTTGTCACTGTTTGCTGTTTGATTTTGTAATAGCTCAGTTTTTATAAGTATTACAACTTTATTGAAAAGAATACGTTTTTTTCTAACTTTAGGTACAGGATTCTATATAATGTCCGTAAGATTAAACTTGTTAACTGGTTCAAATATTTTATATTCTTACCAGTTGTATTTCTCTCTGATGTATTACCTTTTATGTAAAAATCCTTAATATGATGTTAAATTATTAATTTTTCCCTGTAATCATCAATATCTTCACAACTCTTTTGTAGCTATGTTGTTATTTAGAATCGCTATTCCAGGGTGTTTTATATGTAAGTTAATAAATTTAAAAAATTTTAAATGATTTTGGACTTAAAATCTATTTTGAGTTGTATTAATATAGCTTCCTTAACTTTATTTTGTTTAAAACCTGCCTCATGTATCTTTTCTGTCCCTTTATTTTTTAATATTTTAGTGTCCTTATGTTTAGATGCAACTCTTTAAAACAGATTATTGCTGATTAAAAAAAAAGTTTATTTGGCTCTGGCCAGATGCCTATGTTGGTTGGAACATCGTCCCATACACCCAAAGGTTATGAGTTTGATTACCAGTCAGGGCACAGACCAGGTTGCAGGTTCGATCCCAGGTCAGGGCTTGTATGGGAGGCAACCAGTCAATGTTTCTCTCTCACATCAATGTTTCTCTCCTCTTCCTCTCCTATCCACTCTCTAAAACAGATTTTAAAAAGCATATCCCTTGGGTGAGGATTAAAAAAACAATGTTGATTTTGTTTTTATTTGTCATGCAGTGTGATACTGCTGTCTTTTAATCGGTGAATTTAGTCTTATGGATTCCGTGATTGTAGACGTATTTATTTCTACTACCCTTTCTTGTACTATTTACTCTTGGTTTTGCTTGTTTGTTTACATGCATGCTTGTGTTTTGTTTTTTCCCCCTCTTTCCTGCATTCTATTGGCTTGGTCAAATTTAGTTTTATTTCTCTTTTTTGTTACTTCTTTGGAGTTTTACATTCTATTTCAAATATTTTAATTTTTATCTTAAATTTTTTTAAATTTATAATTGACCTAAAATCTAGTGTTAATGTTTTCTACCATATTCCTAATTAAAACAAGAAACTTAGTGTATTTTATACCATACAAAAATTAGCTCAGAATGGATCGAAGACCTGAATGTTAGAGCTAAAACTAACATTGAAAGGAAACATATAGGGGAAGCTTATGACGTTGGATTGGGCATTGATTTCTTGGATGTGACACCACACAACAGGGAACTAAAGAAAAAATAGGTAAATTGGAATCAGTAAAAAGTTTTCTGCATTAAAGGACAGTCATCTTAGTGAAAAGGTAACCTATGGAGTGGGAGAAAATAGTTGCAAATCATGTATCTGATGAGTGTTAATATCCAGAATATAGAGAGAACACTGACAATTCAATAACAAGTAATCCAATTCAAAATGAACAAAGGACTTTAATAAACATTTCTCCTAAGAAGATATTCAAATGGCCAACAAGCACATGAAAAGATGTTCAATATCACTAATCATTATGGAAATGCAGATCAAAACCACAATGAGATACTACCTCATACCCATTAGAATGGCTACCATGACAAAGAACAGAAAGTAACAAGTGTTGACGAAGTAGAAAATTGGAACCCTTGTACACTGTTGATGGGAATGTAAAATTCTATAACCTCTCTGGAAACAGTATGGCAGTTCTTAAAAAAATTAAAAATAGAATTACCACATGATCCAGGAATTTCACTTCTGAGTACATACTCCATAAAATTGAAAGCAAGGACTCAGAGAGATATTTGTACACCATGTTCAGTAGCAGCATTATTTACAACTAGAGGCCCGGTGCGCAAATTCGTACAGAACCCTTGTACACTGTTGATGGGAATGTAAAATTCTATAACCTCTCTGGAAACAGTATGGCAGTTCTTAAAAAAATTAAAAATAGAATTACCACATGACACAGGAC